TGGTATCCAAGGCGTCGTTGTCCAGGTCATCCTCCGCTCCAGCAGAGGGGTCCTGGTGATGAAGACATGTGTCAATTAGGAATATCCTCTTTCATCAATCAAGTTAATTTTTTGTTTCATCAGATAAGAGTTGCATTAAAATTGTTTACAGTTGGTTTAAAAGAACAAAAGGTCGTTTATAAAAATCTGTAAATACATTTTATAATTTTCCTGTTTTACTTGAATTGAAAAACAAAACTTACATTGAACTCAGTCCCATTTGTATTAAAAAATTATTTTTTTAACTATGAAAAAATAAAATTATTCCAAGACATTACTTCACAGACAAATACCTCCTGTTGATGGTCCGGCCGTGGTATCCTTGGCGTCGTTGCCCAGGTCATCCTCCACTCCAGCAGAGGGGTCCTGGTGATGAAAACATGTGTCAATTAGGAAAAACCTCTTTCATACCTCTTTCATCAATAAAGCTTTTTTTTGCTTCGTCAAATAAACAGAACCGTTATAAAATTGTTTACTGGTATGTTTAAAAGGACAGAAGGTTATTAATAAAAATCTGCCACTAAATATATTTTATCATTTTACGGTTTTATCTGATTGAAAAAAAAAAAGTTTTACATTTAACTCAGTCCCATAGACAGGTATTATTCTAATTTCATTGAAATAATACAAACAAATAATCTTCTAAGACACATTACTTCTCAGACAAATACCTCCTGTCGATGGTCCGTCTTGGTATCCTTTTGGTTGTCCGGGCCATCCTCCGCTCCAGCGGAGGGGCTCTGGTGATGAAGAAATGTGTCAATTAGGAATATCCTCTTTCATTAATAAAGCTTTTTTTTTTGTTCCATCAAAAAATAAAGAGCTGTTATAAAATTGTTTACATTTCGTTTAAAAGGACAGAAGGTCATATAAAATAATATTTCGCTAAATACATTTGATCATTTTCCGGTTTAAGCCAAATTAAAAAAACAAAACATAAATTGAACTCAGTCTCAGAGGTATTTTTTTTTTTCTTTTTTTTTTGAGCTAATGAAAAAATAAAATAATTTCAAGACGTTACTTCACAGACAAATACCTCCTGTTGATGGTCCGGCCGTGGTATCCTTGGCGTCGTTGTCCAGGTCATCCTCCGCTCCAGCAGAGGGGTCCTGGTGATGAAGACATGTGTCCATTAGGAATATCCTCTTTCATCAATCAAGTTAATTTTTTTTGTTTCATCAGATAAAGAGTTGTAAATTGTTTACAGTTGGTTTAAAAGGACAAAAGGTCGTTTATAAAAATCTGTAAATACATTTTATAACTTTCCTGTTTTATTTGAATTAAAAACAAAACTTACATTGAACTCATTCCCATTTGTATTAAAGAATTATTTTTTTTAACTATAAAAAAAAAAATTATTCCAAGATATTACTTCACAGACAAATACCTCCTGTTGATGGTCCGGCCGTGGTATCATTTGCGTCGTCGTCAAGTCGTCCTCCGAACTGGCAGAGGGGTCCTTGTGATGAAGACTGTGTCAATTTGGAATATGCTCTTTCATTAATCATGATAATTTTATTGTTTCATCATATAAAGAGTTGTTATAAAATTGTTTACATTTGGTTTAAAGGACAGAAGGTCATTTATAAAAATCTGTCGCTAAATACATTTTACCATGTTCCGGTTTTATGTGAATTAAAAAACAAAACTTACATTGAACTCAGTCTTGTAGGTATTTTTCTAATTTTATTGAACTAATAAACAAATAATCTTCCAAGACATATTACTTCACCGACAAATACCTCTTTTAGATTGTCTTCCGCATCAGCGAGTGGTCCTGGGGATGAAAATCCGTGTCGATACAGTGCTGTACCAGCAAACCTCAAGGAGCAATCCAGTATACATGCCACTCCAACAACCTCACACTCAAACTCAAGATCAGCAGGAAGCTCTACCCACACCATTCTACCCCAGCCACCCTTCCCGTCCTACCTCTCACCCCCCTAAAAAAAACAACAACAACCAAACCTACACTGCCACCTCAACTACCTCCCGCCATGGCCATGGCAACACCTACAAAATTCTACTCTGACTCTAACCTATCCACCTAGTTCCCTATCAAGCTATTTGCCTATCTCTACAGCCCCACTGCGTCACTTTAAGCCTGAGTGTGAGAGACGGAAATCGGAGCAGCAGACCACTCGCTGTTGGCTTCTCATGTGGGTGCTGTCTTTCTGAGAAAATAAATTAGAAGTCAAACTAGTTATTAAACTTTTTGGAGTACGAGTAACGAGAAGCGCATCAATACAATAATGATTATTAAATGTAGGGGAAAAAATAAGAAGCCAAAGCCTACTCTTATTGATTTTGGACCACCAAGGAATCTTTTACATAACATGTGCAACTTGGACACGAGACCTCCAAGATTTTTCCCTCTTATCTGAAAAGGCCAGGTGTAGATCTTACCTCAGGGGTGTAGAAAGGCTTCAGAAAGAGTTTTTTTAGAAGCCCAGAGGAGGGGGGCAAAGGAGGCGAGGGAGTGAGGGAGTGAGGGCAGGAAGTGGAGACGGAAGCAGATGACACAACATATTGAGAGCAGGAAATGAGGTGAAAGGAGACAATATTAGAGAATAAAAATGTCCATGACGCCATCCGGATTCGAACCCGGGACCTATTGAAAGAGAGGCAAACACCCTAACCTCGCGACCACGAGAGCCCCCGGAAAGATGAATGACCTTTCAGTACACAAAGTATACGATGAGGAGGAGTGGAGAGAGCCGAAGAATGGGGACTCAATAAAAGGAATTGAAAATCGGTTCAAAAGCCCCATTTCAAGAAGTATTTCAGAACATAACATTTGCATCATAACAATGAAGTCGGGAGGATTTCTCGAAAGAGAAAACAAAAAAGAAAAGAAAGACGCAAAGAAATAACATACCTGAATAGTTAGCGCAGATATTTGGAATCTATCATGACTGTGTGGCCTGGAAGCCTCGTCTCGTTGGTTAGTCACAGGGGACGGGAAGACAGTGTCCAACGTTTTACGTTTTATCACAGAATCACAAGCACTATCTGCCGACAGCCTCCAAACTCTGCAAAGGTTGGCTTCGAACTGATCAGTTTCTGCTCAAAGTAAGAGAGAGAGATATCAAACTGACCTGTATTCACCAGGAAGCTGTCTGCTGATTGGTTGGCTGTTGGGTCTCCAAATTTTACTCACAGTCACTTTTTTGAATGTTTAATCTGGAGTACTGTAAACAGTCTCCGCTTTCGACCATGATGACCAGACATTAGAAAAGCGTGACATACCCCGTCCCTTGTCCTTGAAGAAAACCCTGAACTGTGGAAAGATTTTATAGCATAGATCTAGATCTGGCTTGTTCACTTTCGTCTGACCGCGTTAAAAAAATCTTAGCTCATTAATTATTAATTTACCTATCGTCTATGCCAACAAAACTTTGCATGGTAGTTCTGCGGGCCAGTAACCAAACAAAAATATTTTTTTTCAAACAAATCTTGATCCCGTTATTAAAATCCAGCCCCTACTTTTAAGTGTCAGCTCACTGACCCCCCCCCCTCCCTTCCCCCACGACTGTCCAGACGTCTCCCCGTGCTCCATGGTGTGAGTCTGGAAAATTACTCACCCACCTCGCCGTACTTTAAAGTGTGGTGTTGAGGAAAATAATAGATCTATGTCAACTTTCAAATGTGTTTAAGTGTAGCCAGTGCAAAGCGGTTATAAATTTTTTTCCCAACTAATTCTAAATCTATACTACAGATCCTTAATCATTTTCGTTATTTTGGCAGAAATTAATGAAACAAAAAGTCAGGCGATAAAGTTAGGAAAATGGAAAGATAGGGCAAACGATCCGATCCGATTAAATTGGATGCAAGAAATAAAAAATTTCGGCAATTACTATAGGAAATCAAGAGACCAAAACTCCCCAACTAAATGGAATGACCTTGTCGAGCAGATCCAAAACCTCTTACCTAAACTCTATTACAAACAGACATCAATTTTCGGCCGCAGTATTCTAATCAACACACTCGTCATTCAAAAAATTAACTACGCCACACAAACGATAGACCCACCACCCCAGTTTCTCAAACGAATAAAACGACTCATCAGACAATTTATTTTCAAAGGAACTATCCAACGCATTAGACATACAACCTTAATACAGGGCAAGTTCAAGGGAGGGATACAGTTACAAGACATAGAGACAAAAACACAAGCCTATAGATTACAACACATTAGGAACATTGCGAACAACAAAAAAGACACCCCTTAGCTCATTACAACAATATAGGATTACACATCACAAACCTAACACCGATGGACAACACAATCCCACACTTTTTCGGACGACAACCTACATTTTACAAAACATGCCTTCGAGCATACAGACAACACGCCAAATTACTCACTCTCGCACGCACAACGAAAGACATATACACAACGCTAGTAAAACGACAAGCAACACCATTATACGACCAAATTAAAAGAGGTAGGATATACGCAATCCTAGACTTTTCGGAAACATTTCAAAATTTACACATTAAAGACACAATACCCTTCCAAAAACAGATCACGTATAGGATACTTTACACTAACACCCCCACAACTCAAGCAAAGAACCACAGAAAAGATAGGTGTAAAATATGTAGACGAAACAAACGAGAAACAGAAGAACATATATTCTACACATGCCCGCACATTCAACAGACCAAACACGCACTAGCAAAATTACTCAACGCAAACGCAGACACACAGGTAGACATATACAAAGCAATATTTCTAAACATACTCCCACCACAAACAACAGACAACCACAACATTAGACTTCAAATCTTAGCAGCGTACAGAGAAGTCATTTGGCAAGTTAGACTACAAACAGCCTTTAACGACACTTCCCACACACCCAACACTATTTCGGAATATTTTCAACAGAAAATTACATACACCTTTAAAACAGAAACAAAATGGGCAGTATTTGAAAGATATTTGAGCTGTGGCGAGAGTGAGTGAGTAAATGATTTGAAAGCAAGCAAAACAACGAGGACAGAGACCGAACGGACGAATTGTGTTAGACAAGACGAGACTGCTCTGTGAGCACAGAGTAACAACGACTCGACAACCCAGGGGTCGAAAGGCGACGAGTGTAAGAGAACACAGCTCAGGAATAAACGAAATAAAATGAATTATTAAATGAAATATGTACATGGAACGAACGAGAATGAATGAAAAATCATTTATGTGTATGCGAGAGGGGGAGGGGGAAGGGGTACGAAAGAAAAAGCGGACGGGGATGAGCCGCAAGTGTATTTGTCGAATGAATCTGTGTGAGAAAGAGGGGGACACTAATGAGCCCCAGAGTGGATGACTCTTGTGGTGTTATGTTTTTGTTGTAAAACCCCAAAAAATAAAATAAAGGCTCAAATGAAGCCCAAGGGGGAAAAAACAAAAACAAAACAAAAAACCGGTTATAAATGGTACTAAAGCTCGCAGCTGTGACGTCACCCACGCAAACACACTAAGGCTCAGTGGGCCCACTCATCTCGCTTTGTCACAATCTTTGAAAGGAATAAGCCTGTTAAAACTGACACTTGTCCGTCCTCTTTGTGATAAGAAAATAAGAATCTACATAATGAAATTCAAAAAAAAAGAAAACGACATGTACTTCTTTTGTGTTGTTTCGAAATCCAGCAAGAAAAAGAGTCATCTGCGATTCCTATAGTTAATTTTGATACGCTGGTTTTGAATTTGATTTTATTCTTACGTTAACTAAGACGTAGTTTTCAATAAGATTATAAACTAAAATTTTATCACCAGCGGGCAGCTGATAACCCCAAGGCCAGATGCTCGAAAATCAAGCTATGCCTGATTTGGTCGCTTTTAAGGAGTGGGCTAACCCAGATTTCGGGGATTTCCAGAAATCTTGACCAACACCAACAGTGAGCATGGCACTACCTAAAGGAGAAGTTTGGTTTCATTGGTGTGTGTGTGTGTGTGAGTGCGTGTGTGTGTATGTGTGTGTGTGTGTGTGTGTGTATGTGTGTGTGTGTGTGTGTGTGTGTGTGTGTGTGTGTGTGTGTGTGTGTGTGTGTGTGTGTATCTGTTTGGGTATAGAGAAAACGCTCCTTGTCTTTTAAAGAAACTAAACAAGGGGCAAAAACGTTACCTACCATTTTCTCAAAACAGCATTTTTCGGGATTGCCCCCTTGTGCTTAAAAGCATGCGTTTTTTTTATCACAAAGAGGCCGGACAATAGTCAGTTTTAACTGAACGTGCAACAGACCCTTTAGAAGCAGCGCTATAACCCTACGCGTCCCTGACAACGACTTAAGGTCTTCATATAACATTGTTTTGGCAAGTCTTAGTATTCTTCCCCCCCCCCCCCCTCCTCTTGACTCCTGACTCTTTCTAGTGCTACCCCTTCGCTCCTTCATACTGCTGTCTTTCAGCCACACACCTGACCTTAGAGTAGGCCTAAATAAAATATAAAAATCGAACCCTTAGCCTTCTCGAATAAGGCGAAAAATCTCGGATCCCGTGTGCAAGTTGCGTACGTTAAAGATCCCTTTCGGGGAGCTCTCGCGGTCGAGATGTTACGGTGTTCGCCTCTCATTCAATAGTCCCGGGTTGGAATCCGGACAGCGACGGACAATTTTGTTCCCCTTTCCTTGCTTTGTAACAATGTTCTGTCGTCTGCTTTCATCTCCGTGAGATTGCGGGTTCTGGGGTTCGAGCCTCAGCTCTGTCCGACGCTGTGTTCTTGGGAAAGTCACTTTAAAAAAGAAATATGGCTCAGTGCTTTCGGAAATGGACGTTAGGCCCTAGGTCCCATCTCTTAAAGAACCTGCTAGTGTTGATTGGGACGTAAAACCAATACCATTTCACGACGACACCAACAATATCTATGTACAGGGTGATCCCCAAAAACTGTACAACCTTTTTTGTTAATATTTTCCTCCACACTCGAGTTTTGCGTTTCAAATTTGTACACAACATTAGGAAGTCAAAGGGGATTTGTCTGATATTCATTTTAAATAAATCATCAGAATAGTTTTGCTCTACACAGCGCGTAAAAAAACACAACCCATTTTCAGCTATGTACCCATTTTTTTAGCATGACGCACTGATTCGCATTAGGCCTACCACTAAAAATCCCAACGATTGCGCCATATTGCAAACTACAGTAGTCTAACAGGCCAAAAGAAGTTTGCAGATAGTTTCTCTCAAGTTCCCTTTGTCTGCTGAGATCATGGTTAAGATTAGTAAAGAGCAGAGAGCTTTTTGTATTGAACAGTTTCTCACCACCAACTCATTTCGTAAGTTTCGCGCAAGGTACGGAAATAATGTTAAGCTGCCCTTACGGCCTTCTTTGATCCATCAGTTAGGACCTGTAGCCTGTAGAGAATCAAAACTAAACATTCCCAGACAAAACGACCACTTCAGGTCAAAGACACACCGTTCGCATCCCTTTAAACGTCACGCAGGGTGCAGAATTCAGTAGATGAGTCCCATGACACGTCTGTCCGTAGACGATGTCTGCAGCGATGACTTTCCTACCTCTCAATGGTCCGATTCCCGTTTGCAAAGCTATCAGGGGACAGCAATGTGTTCATAATTCCTCGACCGTCTTGAAAATCATGAACATTTCCTCAATGACATCTTGTACCTTGGCAAATCCAATATTCACCTTTCAGGTTAGATAAACTCCACAAATGCTGTCTATTCTAGGCAACCTCACCCCACTCCCCCTTATAATGTCTCTAAGAACAGCTCCATACTGTAAGCTGTACCGTGTGTGTGCCTTTGAGTACTCATGGTTGAGTGGATCCTGGTCTTTGGCCACCACTGGACATTACGAACGACGCGTTAAGGGGATCCACTGGTCAGATCAGTAAAAATTTTGAAAAAATATCAGTTTTCGGATTCTGGAGTATCTTAATATATATCAATATCAAGGATTCATCTTTAGAAGCCTAATTCTTAATCAAACTTAGATATAGCTGGAAAATGCATTTAAGAGAGGTAGCAATGTAGGAAAATCTTCACCAAGAATTATCTCTCTTTGCAGTTTTCTCAGAATTGTTTATCTGACCAGGTTGCAACACTATATTGAGTAGATCTCAGGAAGTTACTGTCAGAAGTGTTTCACATTTGGACACAATCTTTTATACACATTTCTCTACAACTTTACAGGAGCATTTTTGCTGTTTATAGAACACATTTTGAG